GCAGTGGAGAGCGCCCAAGTTAGCCAGTGTTGATAAAAAGCCACACACCCAGCGGCCTGTGCCGTTGTGGGACGGTTAAACGAGCTACTAGCTTGACGAATAAAACGCTTCTATACACAAAGACGCGCCAAAATGTCTGTTTACATGTACGTATTAAGCTTAAAGTCAAATAACGGCTTACCAGTTCGAGCTGTGTCCCTTTAACCCAGGCTGCACCTATGCAGCCTAAAATTTGGGCAGCGGTTGCTTAGTAGATACAAGAAATAAGAGTGCCGTAAAGAAGCCGGCTGCTGTCGTAATGCTTCTATATTTCTGCGCTCTTCACATATTGAGATGAAATCACTGAAACTAATGCTGCTGTGGTTGCTTTCGAGTTTAAAAGTGTTTCAAATAATAAAAACACCAATAAAAAATGTCTATCTATCTATCTATCTATCTATCTATCTATCTATCTATCTATCTATCTATCTATCTATCTATCTATCTATCTATCTATCTATCTNATCTATCTATCTATCTATCTATCTATCTATCTATCTATCTATCTATCTATCTATCTATCTATCTATCTATCTATCTATCTATCTATCTATCTATCCTTTGTTAATTGTGCTAATTTTTTCAGCAACTGTCTCTGTTTTTTTTTTCAGCAACTGTCATTTTCAGTCTCCTTCAACCCATGTTATAAGATGCTGTGGTCATATTTCGTTCATATTTCTTAAACGTCTTCATCCTATTTAGTAACACGATAATTTCATGGTCATTTGGATTTAAAGATTATGTCATCTGGCATGTTTCATTCACTGCTGTTGGGATATTATTTTTTTATGTCTTTGAGATTAGGTGGGTGTTTTTAGTCTCTTTTTATTTTTTGGTCATTTCCATTAAATGTTTGTGACTTTGGCATCATTTTAGCTGCTCTGTCAGACTGGTGTCATCTCTAATCTCTTTGTAGTTGTTTTGTGAATTGAGTCCATCTCATTTTTACCATCTGTTTATCGCTTTGTGTATTATTTATTTATTTTTTTACATTTTTCTGATTTTATTAGCCACAATTAATCTGGGAAACATTTTATAGGTTATCCATTTAATTGTCACACATTGTCTGTGTCCTTCTAGCTGTTCTGGGACATTCCTTTCAACCTCATGTCTTTAGCTTTTACAGCAGGGTTAACAACTTCCGAGAGAGAGTTAAAATAAGTGTCCATTTTTGACAAAATAAAACATATAAAAGAATAAAAATATGCACAGATTAAAAAGATGCCCAGAAACTGAAAACCGGACAAGTTAATCAGCTTATTTCTTTCAGTGTTACCAACATTTTTATTTTATGTCATATTTGACATGTTTAAGATCATTGAACAGATTTTTATATTAGTATCAGATAACGAATAAATGCTCAAGGTATTGTTCATAAGATTATTTCATTTTTAAGGTACATTGCTCTCTTTAATGCACCTGGTCCCATGCTAAACAGGAATCGTTCCATGACTCTAAAAGCCGCCATCAAGTGTTTGTGATAAATGAATCTAAATCTGCTCAGGTTTAAATGAAGCTCAAGTATCTCTGCCAATCTTGGGTTTGTCTGCACTGTTGGGTCTCGTGCCTCTCATCTTGCTCTTTCAAACAGCCTATTAGATTCTCTGTGGGGGATATTGCTAGCTAATCAATGACTGGATACCGCAGTCGTTAAAGATGGTAATGGTACATTTGGCAGTGTGTTTAGATGCGAAGTCCTTCTAGATTATAAAATCAGCATCTCCATAAAGCGTCTAAGCTAGGGACATGAAGTGTGCTTAAAATGTAGACGGCTGTGCTTCCTTTGAACTTTGTAGAAAAAAACAATTGGCCTGCATACGACAAAAGATGACATGTCCTTTTAGACTTAGACACACTATATTGTTATTTTGTACACACAGAGTTTATACAAAACGGAATTGTGTTCAGTACAGCTCTCAAGACATTTCTATTTCTAAAGTGCAGCAGTGATAAAAAGTAAACATGGTGATCAAATGTAAACACAAGACTGGTATATGATTTACAGTTTTTGTTCCACATTCAGCTTTTATTCTATTTCTCTTTTATTCAACAATCAGCAGTCTGGTGGCAGAGGGGAAGAAGCTGTTTGGGAATCTGCTGGACCTGCATCGGATGCTTCGAAGCCTCCTCCTAGAGGGCAGCATGGAGAACAGTCCATGGTGGGGGTGTGAGGGGTCATTTATGCATTTTACGCAGCGCTGGGATTTAAAAAATGGTTGCATGTAAAAACCTCACACAGCTTGGCTTCTGGTTCCCTAATCCTTCTCATGATGCTGAGACCTGGATTTGCAAATGAAATGCAAAAATGGGTTTTCATCTAAAAAGACATTTTCATTTTAATTTCAATTTACTGAAATGAAAACAAGGTAATGATACTCTTAAGTGACATATATTTTTAACTCTTCCAGGCATTAGCATTAGAAAACTACAGCATATTTTATCAAGTTCAATTGATGGGTATTAATGTTACATTTATTTGGATGCATCATGCCAAAACATATAGGGATTAATGGAAATGAAATTGCAGAGAAACTTCCTAAGAAAGCATTAAAAAAATTGAACCATGGATTTGATGATTAATTTAATACAGAAATTAAAATTATCATTAAACAAAGACTGAATGAAATGTGGCAAAAGTAAGGGGAAGAAGAAAGGAGATGAAGAGGATTTTATAGGATTGAATGGAAAGTCTGAGAAATAAGGATAGCAGAAGGAAGCAGAAGAGAAGAAACTGTTATGTCAAGACTCAGATTTGAACATACTCGATTAAATAACACACTATTTAGAATAGTGAAACATTTTTTAGATAAATGTGTATACTGTGGACAAGAAGAAATATTAGAGCATGTAATTATGTATTGTAAGAAGGATGAAGAAGAAAGAAGAAAGCTTACATGGGAGAAAGTTAAATTGGATATAGTGGATATTCTGCAGAAAAAAAATAATGTTATCAATATTTATTTAAATAATTAAAAATAACAGGAGCAATTAGAAAGATTTAGTATTTATGAATTAATATTAGAGATATATAAATATAAGTAACTTTAGAAATAGGGCCATTCTGACCCACACTTCTCACCAGTTGGTGGAGGTAATGCACACCCAAGAGTTGTTTGCCAATAGCCAATAAACTCAAGAAGAAGAAGAAGCAACAGCAAACATTTAACTTTCCTGTTGAGAAAAAAAAAGCATCAATCTCTGCACCTTCTGAGGGCCTTTGCTTCCTTAAGTTAGCACCAGCTTTCAAAAGTTTGACTAATGTTCAAAGCTCTTTCTCAACTCTATAGCATCTGGCAACATCTAAGCTTTTTCTTATGTGACTTCAGCAAACTATTCCTAATGCTGCAGATCATTTTGATATTGATGTAGATATTTATATATTTTGGACCATACTAAATGTATATAACAGCTTTCTGTTCATTATGTATTTATTTGTTTTTCATTAAAAGTAATAAGTTTATTATGCACCATGTTGGATGATCTGTAGATTCATTATTCATTTTAATGTATCGTTTTGATTAAAAAAGTTGTGGCCATGACTGTAAGGATAGGGATTCCTATCCTTGGACACCTACCCTTTCATACAGAAAGCCTATATTCTGATCTTCAGCTACCACAGTTTACATGACAGATTAAATAATACTACTTATACTTTAGCGGTAGTATCTAGGCGTTACTTTATTGTATCTCTTATAATGTATCTGTTGGTTGTGCTGTGCTTTTTACATCTCTTTGCTGGTGATGAAGCAGACTGAAGATGTTTTATCATCATCTCCCCTTTTATCTCCTCTTTCTTTCATCTTTTCTTTTTTTTTCAGATTTTCCTTCCCTGTTCTACTTTCATTGCAGTGTCCATATAATCTGTAAAACTACCTGCATGAATTATAATAAAGCAATTTCTATGCATAAATCAAGTGGAACACGATGGCAGTAGCCGTACTGCTCCACCTGTGAAAGCGAAATTTGTTTTGCTTAGATTAGATTAGGTTCAACTTTATTGTCATTACACAGGTACAGGTACAAGGCAACGAAATGCAGTTTAGGTCTAACCAGAAGTGCAATAGCAGCAAGTGCAGGATAAGTAATGGTTCCATAAATACAGGACATGGGTTTCTAGTGAATAAGTATAGAGATGAATACCATTATAAACAGAATCTCATAGATGAATACAATATATAGATAACTAGTGTTATGAACTACATTTACAGCTGGATATGTACAGAATATAATATACAGGTGGATATTACTATAAAAAGGGTTTTTAAAGTTATGTACAATAGCATATATACAGATGGGTTTTACTATAAGACGAATAAATAACGTTAGGACAGAAGCTATCTAAATTTAAGTGCAGTGGAAGGTAATTTCATACTACAGTTAAAGTAGGTTATTGCAGATGTATACGTAAACAATATTCAGTCAAGGTGAGTAGTGCAAGATGCATGTAAACAGTTGTTACAATAGTAACCTTTTTGGCATCAAGACAATTATTCTTATTGCCATATTGCCAGACAGGACACTGTTAAAAAAATAAAAAATAAAAAGAATAGGCATTCCTGTTTGTGAATTTTTTACTGCACTTTTTCCTTCCACTTAACTTTCCATTTAATAGCCATTTAACAGACAACTTCTCCATTGATTCAGTGGTCTTATCCATGATTTGTTGATGTAACATTTATGTGATTAAAAAAACATAGCAAAAAGGTTTCTGCATGTTTTCTGAGGAATTGAATTTAGCGTTTTTATTAGCTATAGGGCATAGTGAACTCATAGAAGAAAAGCTTGAACAGATAATTTGGCAAGTCTGTTTACTACTCACCTTTTATACTAGTTTTAATCAAATTTTAAACTCTTAGTTTAGACTGTTCATTTATATTAAAAATAATTAATTTAAATAGTTTTTGTGATTGTCTTGTGAGATACAAATGAATAAACACACCTGCCCAAAGCAGTGAGAGCAGCCTGGGAGGGAGCAGATAGACAGGGAGAAATGGCGCCTCGATGCTGCGCTCACTGAAGCGGTGTTTGGAGCCGGTTACAGAGATTCAGTGAGGACACTTCACAGGAGAAAACATGGAGAAGACGAGGAAGAGCCCCCGGACACGGAGCGGCACCTTCATCTCCTCCAGGACGCGCTCGTCATCGAGAAAAGAGAGAAACTCAGAGGAACATGTAAGCCGGTCTCCTTTCTTTTTAACCGGGGCTAGCTAGCTAGCTAGCTAACTCTGCTAGTTGGCTAGTAGCTGTAGCTCTGGCCCCAAGCTCCCACTAATGTTTTATTTACGGCAAGATAGTAACGGCAGTTAACCTGACATCCACGCGGTGTCACGGGCAGTTAGTAAAACTCGCGAACCCACCTACCCGTGAGCGTGTCATTTGCATCAAACTTATTATGAAGCTGTCAAAATACAAGCTAGCGACATTAACTCCTGCTAGCCCCAAGTTGAGTTCCCTTTGTGTTTGGCTGCTGACTTGTTTCAGCTTTGTCAGCAAAACTTAGCTTCTTAAATTCAGTAATTAGGGTAAAACCAGTCGGCTCTACTTTAACCCCACACGGTCAAAGGAGCAGCTTTAATATTTTACCAATTGTCTGAAGATAAAGCCTTTATTTAAGCTAGCGTTTATAGGAAAGAGCTAGCCTGGTAGCTCTTAGTGGGGGAAGGGAGTCCTGGTCTACAACAGTTGGCTTGGTCAGGTCCCTTATTTAGCAAGTCTGAACTTGGTGAACTTTTTTTTTTCTTGTAAATGTCCTCAAGGATCGTAAACCTGTTGTTCCCGAAATGCTTGTTTTACTCCCCAAAAAACAGCTTTGTGCTCATCAATGCATTGCTACTTCAGAAAACTTTTAAATTATATGTGAAGTTTTGGTGCAACCTGACAAAGCTGTCAGCCTTTTGTCTCAGAGTGTAAACATTGAGACATGCACGTCTGCATCTGCCTTGTTTTTACTCTATTATCATAATAAAAGGGAGAAAGCTATAGTCAAAACAAAACCCTTTGGATGGTAGCCTTTATTTTTGCATTAGTACTTTTGTTTTTGTTATTTTTTACTGCCAGGCTTCTCTGTGGCCACTGGGCTTTTGAACATCTATTTCTCTGAAAGTATTAGCTTTTAAAAAGCAACTTTTGTAGAAATTGGCAGTGGGTTCTTGTTGTTGTATGAACTTCTAAAAATTCCCCTTGTTTAATAACAATGTTTTTGCAAAATGGAGGAATGATGTAGATGTATATGCTGCTCCCTGTGTGATAAAGCTAGGATGAACCCCTTCACAATTTAGTGGTTTAGTGTTGAAAACATTTGCTAAATCTGTAACATTCAACCCTGCTCTTCAAAGCCCAACATGCTTTAGATCGCTCCCTGATTAAAATGAATGGGACCCATGCATAACTTAATGACATGCTGGGTGGGTAATGTCACCTTTTGGATTAGAGATGTGAAGCGCTCTGATAACGATTTCCTTAATTTTGAATTTCTTCAGTAATTTTCAAGAGGAAATGGATGGTTCAGATTTCTCCAAATCCACTGAGGCTTTGGGATAACTTCTACGTGTCAGTGTGATGACAAATATGTTTGGAGGAGTCAAAGTGTAGATTTATATGCTTTCAGGCTTGGTGTTGGCAGCATCATGATGAGGGGTCTAGGGTTCAGGGGTCATAAAGAGGCGGCCTTCAACTTCAAGTTTGAACAAGAAATAAAATAAGCAAAACATTGATTCAGTCAGTCTGGTAAGGCTCAGACTATACCAATCACAGGGTGGGAGGCAGGAGTTTATGCTTGGGCCAGATTTACCCATGATGCAACAGTTCTTTACTGTAATCATAACAGTCAAGGTTGCAGCCACAACAGAGCACTGCTTAATTTGCTTAGTTTGTTTGCAACTTTTCTTTGCCTAAATATCATTGAGGGATTTCAGAACACATTTTATTGTAGTGGATTAGAGGAAATCCACATAATTTCAAACATGTTTTCCTGTTTCCTTTTCTTTTTGGATCAATAGTTTGTGAAATTTCCCAATGTTGTCAAAAAAGATCATTGAGACAGACAAATGTATATAAGACAACCTGTCCTTCCTGTTGTGCAAATATTTTAAGTTAGCGGTGTAAAATGCTTCAATTATAAGGGTTTCAGTCAGTGCTGGTTTATTTTAAATAATACACAGAGCTTGGTTTAAGTATTATTTTAAGTATTATTTCTGCTTTCTGTATTATTTCACTATGGCTTTGTGTTGTTAAACTAGTTTATGTTACAAAAGAAAAAAAAATCCAGCTATTTTTCAGATTTATTTAGTTTTAATGATTATTTTCAGTTTTTTCATATAATAATCTTTTATTTTTTTCCTAAAGTTCTTCTAGTCTTCCCTTTCCTTTAGCCACAGTTTTTCATGTGTTTATTCAACAGAAGGAGCCCAGCAGTGATGTGAGCAGTCCCAGCAGTCCGCGGTTGCCACCCCCTGCCAAACGAACGCGCAGGAAGATAGCCTCCGAGCCGAGCTCCAGTGACACTTCCCCGTCTCCTCAGGCAAAGGGCCAGAGGGTCAGCTGGGGTTTGCCCACCTACCGTACCCGGTCAGTGGCTTGGACTTGTTTATTTTGAATTAATTTTCAGCGTATGTTGATCCACATTTATCTTGCATTTATTTTACATTCTGCAGACCATGAAAGCAAAAACTACAAAAGTGATTAAATTTCTTTGTAATCCTGAACGGATGTTAAACATATTTTACATGTGTTCTCCTTTCAGGTTGTCTTCTCGCATAATGCAGAATGGGCATGGTAATTTACTTTTTTTTTCTATTTTCCCCTCATGTCATGCATTTAAAAAAAGCATTTGTTTAGAAAAAACCTAATCTGTTTGATCTTGTGATGCTGCAGCCCATATGAATCACAGGAGTGAGGAGAGTGGAGGGGGAGATCACTCCCGTATGAATGGCCATGTGGAGCTGAAGAGGAGCTGCCGGGTGAGGAAGAGCCAATTTCAACACCTCAATCAGAGCCTGCTGTTCGACCAGCTGGTCAACAGGTAGCTGGCAGTCACACTGTTGACACTTCACTTTGCAGTTCTGGGTCAGACAGTGGAGAAGTTGGAAATGATGGCAACAAAACCAGATTTTGTGTCTTATTGAAGAAATTCTAAATCTATGATGGTTGAACTTGAAACTTTTCTGATCTTTTAGGTCTAGTTTAGAGTTTGGATATTCAGAATTTTATTTCACTTAGACCTGATATGCATAGTTTCCCATCCACTGTTTTTGTCTCTGTATGTGAAGCACTGCTGAGGCTGTTCTTCAGGAAATGGACAACATCACCAGCATCAGGCAGAACCGTGAGCTGGAGCGGCTTCGCATGTGGAACGGAGAAACTGAAGAGGTAAGAGACGGACATTGTGAAGTAAACACAGGAGGTAACTTTGATTTGGAGTTCAACGCTGCATTTGTTAACTTTGTTAACGCTTTGGGTTTTTTGTTAACTTTTTTGTTTTCTATCTTTTTGATTCTTTCAGGAGAATATGGACATGTATTCTAGGGTGAAGCGCCGGAAATCAATGCGTAGAAGCACTTATAACATGCCTGCTCACCACAAAGTCTTGAGCAAGGACGAGGAAGAAGAGGAGGAAGAAGGGACTGAAGGTGCATAAATGATGAAAAAACAGAAGGCTTTTAGAAACTCAAATATTTTTATCATGTTTTAAATTCTATTCATGTTTGGTTGGTTTGCATTAATGTATCTGTCATTGGTGAATTGTAGTTCTAACTGCAGTTTTTTAAAGCCAGATCTCATGTAAGGTGGTCAATATGCACCAGCAGATGCATAGAGAATTCGTTCCGATGCTCAAAATATAATTTTTAACTTGATCGGCCTCGACTGGTGACTAGCTGGTTGGAAAGTCAGGATCATATCCTTTTCCAACCAGAGGATCTACCTTATGTGCTGAGGGGCCACCAGGTATCAAGACCGCTGTCTTAACTGTGGTTGTTGTTACTAAGTGGACAAAAAACAAAGTTAGCTTATTTCTGTTAAACAGGGTAGTCAGATGAAAATACGCTGTTTAAAGAGAAACTCACTTTTTGGAGAGCTGCTTTACTGAATATATAAACCAGGTAAAATAGGCATTGGCTTAACAAAAACTGCATCTGCAGAATTCTGGTTGTTGCATCTTTACCTTGCATAGAGTGAGGGATTTACACACCCAGGATGGTACTTTAAAACAAATCTAATTGTAGGTTCCAGTGAATGTCTCAGATTGTGAAACAGAGCTGCTTGAGTCCCTCCAAACTTTGAATCACACACTCACTTCAACCTTGGCTCTTGAGGCCTTAAGTACTGAAAAGACTTTTCTTTTTACATAGAATAAATTTCACATATTCTGAAGCAGGCATCCTCAGAGTCGGTGACTGGGGCCGCTGTCCTGCAGGTTTTAAATGTTTCTCTGCTTTAGCACAGCTTATTCTGATGATTGCAGTTCAGCAAAAGCCTGTTGATCAACTATCAATGTAAATCAGATGTGCAGGAGCAGGGAACCTCTAAAACCTGCAGGACAGCGGCCCTCGAAGACCGACTTTTGGGAATGCCTGTTCTAAGGATTTTAAAAAGATGTTAAATTGCCAGTATAACGGATATTTTAATGAGCTTTAGCAACATTAGCCAGTCATCATTTATCAAACTCAGCAGCTTCATTTGCTCCTAATGCAACATTAAGATGGAGTCTCTCTGAAAGCTGATTTTGTTTTCTTGTATGGGAATAATTGTCCTTGTTTGCTTTCAGAATCTCATGGTGAAGAAGAAGAGGAGGAGGATGATGATGCAGAGGATGATGAAGATGACGAAGGGGATGAAGCTGAAGAGGCGGGCGAGGAAAACGACAGGCCGTATAACCTGAGGCAGCGTAAAACTGTACAAAGATATGAAGCTCCACCCATCGGTATTTAATGGGGGGAAAAAAATAACTTTTTTTTTCTTACTTTCTAGTTGTTGAAATGATTTGTTTGTTGTTTAACCAGCAGTTTCTTTGTGTTTGCCGTTTCAGAGCCTGTGAATAGAAAACAGAGCAACCCCTCCCTTTTTGACACCCACAGATCCCCAGCAAGAAGAAGCCATATTAGGTGGGCAAGGATTTTAAAAAGTAGCTCCACAAGCATAAAATAGCTCAACATTCAAGCAGTCTGTCATTAATTTGACTAAAACTCGGAACTAAAATGCAAGCAGTAATAGAGCTCTACTTTTCCAGAGTGAAGAAGCATGCCATTCACAGCAGTGACACCACCTCATCCTCTGATGAAGAGCGCTTTGAGCGAAGGAAAAGCAAGAGCATGACTCGGGCCAGAAACAGGTGATAATTGTTTCCCTCTCCATACCTTTATCTCCATTACTCTCTGATGCTTTTTTTATTTGAATTGACAAAACGACAGTGTTTCAGGCTTTAGCTTTGATATTTATATTACCCTTTCATATTTCAAACCGAACTATAATCGGTGAAAATTATTTCCAGCAGCTTTGGCTCATCCAGATTTTTCTTTTTTTTTCTTTTCAAGTTTCTCTAATTGTTTGAAAAGTACGACAGTTAAATTAGTTACATCTTTCATCCCTAGAAGCATGAAAACATTTCTTACAAGTAGATTTATCCCAACAGATGTTTACCTATAAACTTGACCGCTGAAAGCCTGGCCAGTGGCGTGCTGCGCGATCGTGTTAAAGTCGGTGCGAGCTTGGCTGATGTGGACCCCATGAACCTCGACAACACGGTGAGTGATAATGCCAACACGTCAAACTCCACTGGAATCTGGAGACTTAATGTGTTCTGGCACACCAAGTATTACTCCAATCTCTTTCATATTTTGTCTCCATACAACTAAAAACTTGGGAGTTTATGTTGTAGAGCAAAACAAGGAAGTGAAAATGCAATGATGCATTAAAAAAGCTGAGTTGTGTGTGTTCCTTTTCAGGCTGTGGTAGTTTGATTCTTCTAATTTACTGTAGTAGCCATTAGAAATGTCCCTGCTTACCTTGGTTGGTCCTTGGCTGGTCCCTTACAATTCTTTTTTAAACATCAATATTTGTACTAATGTATTCTTTCTGTCATGGTTTGTGGACTTTAAGATCTAAAGAGAAGCGTCATCTACTGGTTAGACCCTGTAATTCAGTGAAAGGGTGGAGTCAGATTAAAAGAAATATGCAAGAGGGGTCACTCCAGTGGCTGGATGTTTAAGGGGATTTTGTTGGGAGTTGGAGGTAAGTGTCCAAACACCAGCCGTTCAGCTGAGAAGTGACATTTTGAATGGCTGCTACTGTAAATCTACTTTCATCAATTAGCATCAGTTGATGCATTGATCCAACACCCAACGACTCGATGCATTGATACGTCCGCAAGAGTATCGATTCATGTTTATTTTTTTCCTTCTGTCTATTTTTATACATTTGCTCCTACACGTAAATCTGACTCCCGTGCTGCGGTGGTGCTAAACCTATTTTGCCCTCCTACCTCGCTTTCTTTAGCCACTACCCTCCTTCTGCATGCACACACTTGTGTAAACAGTAGGCAAGACAGACATGGCGGATTCTGGAGTATCGAAAAATAATCGAATCACTGCGTCAGGAAATTGATACTGAATCGAATCGCCATGATGGGTGTGATTTACACCCCTACCCGCTACACTCTACTTGCATGGTTTAACAAGGTGGTAGAAGCATGATCCTGGGGGAGACATTAATTCAATAATGGAGGATGAATATGAGTCAACCTCCCAAATGGTGTCTCATTTTTGCAAACAAACGGTTTGAAAATTCAGTTATTAGATGTGAGGAGCTATGCAAAGCAGAAATTGAAAGAATTGACAGGTAGGTATGAATTCTGGTAGCCTCGTGAGACCATCCTGATCTCGCGAGCTTTCAAGATTTCA